AGTCGTCAGTCAGCCAGGTTTGGACGCCATTTTGGGGCAGTTGGTTCACTTTTATTTGTGGGAACATTGGCTTTTTTTAAATAAATAGTTAAGCAGACCCTACACGGTAATTCATGAATGAACGCCACAAGAAGTGCCAAGATTGCCCGCGATCGCTTTGATCATGAAGACCCTTACACGTTCAATCATTACTTATTGTTGCTGATACCAATTTAGCTCAGTTTTAAACAAAGAAACAGCATAGATATGCTTATTTGGACATTGTAATTTATAATATTGGGCATAAAGAGAAAAACGGAGATATAATAATTACTTCCTGGTGCCTGAAAATCGTTTAGACCAAAGTTAGAAAAATATAAGTCAACTACATACAAAAATCTAGGAAAAGTATTGCGAAAATAATCAATTTGTTAAGAAAAATGGAAAAATTAATGCCAAATAAACACAACAGTTAAAGATTTTTTTTCTATAAGTAAATTGCGAAGTTTCCACTTTTTTTTTCTATTCAATTTATTGCCTACTTGACTATTTAAAGAAAAAATAGTTGAAAATGGTTAATAATATTATAGACTAGGGATATAAACAACTATTTAATTAATAACGAGACCTAGGTAAACTAACCTATCCAGTAGTAGTCTCATAGAAAATCGTTTTGACAAAAGTTAGTATATAATCTTTCCGGCGCGCTCGTATTCCTTTGGTTCCTCCGTTACGATCTCCTATTTCTCCTTTATTTAATTATCAAATTCTTTCGTATTTTATATTTAACTATGTTTGATATCAAATATTAATGTGAAATGGTGAATTATTTCAATTTAAAAAAAAATTAAATGTACTTTAGAATAAGCTAATATTAAAAATTAGCCGTTTAAGCCCTGTTATAGAACATCAATGAGAATAAAACATACATCATATTAAAAACTGCTAAATTATACACTGATATACTAAGTTAAATCAAAATCGGTAGAACCGTTTTTGAGGAAATCGTAAAAATGTGTTAAATCGATAATATAAAGTACTACTTCCGGTTTGTCGAAAATGTTGCTGTGACATCAAAAACTTATATAGATCTCAAACACACATTTTCAGTTTTGACTTAGATTGTTCACATACATATGTACACAGGCGGACTTAAGGGGGGAGTTCTCTCCCAAAATTAAATCCTGGATCCATGGGGACCTCTAAACGTGTATTTCTGTTGAAAACTCAGATTCACAAATTTTCATGGTCGCAATTAAATATTAGTAAGCACGGGCGAATCTACAGGGGGGCTTTCGGGCTGAAGCCCTCCCCCCCAAAATGGTAAAATATAACCATATTTTATGGAAAAAAATATTAAGAAATTATCTCTTAAAGTATCATTGTTCGTGTCATCACATTTAAAAGTACTTAAGGAATTACTTAAACATCATTTCATATAGATAGCTACTAGTTTCTTTCTTTTTTTCCAAAGTAAATATCGTCATTTTTATAAAAAACTTCGGGCTGAAGCCCCCTCCCCAAAATTAAATCCTGGATTCCCTAGTGAGTGAAAGTAATAAAGGCAAGAATCAATATAGAGACAGGCTTCCATCGAAGATAAAATAGATGATTCATAAGTTGGTTTGTAAACATCATTAGCAATAGCACTTAAAAAATATTGGGAGGGAGAGGAAAGCAGAATGTGCATTACCACCTCAATGGCTATTGTTATCTTTTTTAGTCATAGCAAAAAAATTCAGTGGGTAGGATTATCCCTCCCCCCCCAAAAAAAAGTTCAAAAGTAAAATATTTGTATCAGCAACATTCTTAAACACTGATATAGTCACCGATTTGAAATAATACTTAAGAATCTATCCCATATATGTTTTTTTGATTCGTTAAAATCTTAACATACATAACAAAAATGAAATCTGTTCTAGATTGAATATTTTTCAACAACGTAGAAGTTTTATAAAATATTTATTCAAAGAGATATTGATTTCAAGCTATACATTAAACAAAGAGGGAGGGAGGAGCAAGTAGGTTGGTGGGTCAATATTTGTTTGTATGTGATCTGTGACAAATATTTAAACAACCACATGTTTTCTTTTTAAATTATGACTCATGTGCTTCAGTTATTAAATTTTGTTACACGTAAAAATAAAAATATAAAATCCATTAGCCTCCCTCCAAAATTAAATTCTGGATTAGCTACTTTATTATTAATACAATACCTGCACATCTTATACTACTGGTTGCATATACCTGCAGGTGTGGATTTAAAAAAAAATGCAAATTATTATACAATAGTTTATTAGTTCCAAATAGTTATTTATAAAAATATGTGGTATGTCACCCAGCATGGCTTTCCTTACTATTTTAGTTTTTTATCTTTAACTTTGTAGACAATTAAATAATCTATCAAATGAGACTCGAATGTTCCAGATACACGGCTTTTAAGTTATAAAAAAAAAAAATGAGTAATTTTGAATGAGAAAATGTACTCAATACTTTTGCTGTCGCCTTGCCTTGAATTGAGCATTGCGACTCTTATATTAAGCATTTATCAGAGCCAGAAATTTTATTTTTAGTTTAAGTAAAAATATTTGTATCCTGTTCTTGATTGTTAAACCTCAACAAAATCAATGAAGTCGACCCAGTAGTGGAGCAATAAAAGACCCTTATCTTAGTCTGGAAATGATCATGAAGTAGACAAAATTGGTAGCATTGGTACTATATGCTTCAGCCTAATGTTACTCGGCCGACTAGGGTAGGAAAGGTTGTAGGTAGCAGCATTTTCTGCTTGTCTGTATGGACGACACAATTCTGCTACTGGAACCAGCACTGCCTCAGATTCCAAATTTCTGGAAAAATAGTCAATCATACTCAGCCAAAACATTTTCACTAAGGAAATTCAGTAATATTTCATAGTTTTAGACTATGGTTCTGTTATAAAAGACTTAAAATCTTAAACAGCATATAATTAAGTTATCTAATAAAATAAATTTACAACCTTCATTAGCAGCTCTGATAATTTTCAGCAACTAAACTAGGATCAGATTTAGAATAGATAACTTTTATTGTCATTGGCACTTCAAGTACATATTCATTATATATGTTTTATAGAATAAAATTGAATTTAACATTTTTTTTATCATTTGTTCGTGACGCTAACGCGGTTAAATACAAAAGAGACAACTCAAAAAACAAGACTATACTTACGTTTAACTTACTCTCTAACTTCTCTTCTTCACCCTTAGCATACTGTAGCACTCGAATGAAAGACCTGAAGTCATCCTATTCATTTCCTGTAACTGCCATAGGGACATCCCCAAGCAACTTAGCATTGTCAATACTAATGTAGATGAAAAAAATATAAATTCTAATTGTAAAGAACTCATCATAAACAAAAGCTCGGAAAGTAAACATCTTCTAGTTGATGCCAATCAGACATGAGGATTATTTGAACAATAATTTATTTAACATTGATAGTTTGTTCTATATTATTCAAAATATTTGAGAAAACTATTCATAAAATATGATAAACCACAAAATGAAAACTTTTACCTAGCTAAAAATTTTGTTATATAATGTTTTAGCATAAACCGTAAGTCACTAATCACAACTTAATACCAACATTGTTTTGGAGATATGAGGAATATGCCAAAATCTTTAATTCACAAAAAATGTTAGATACTGTTCTATGGCTGAGAACCTCATTTATTATTTATCACCAATATGAATAACATGTTTATTGCTAAGTCTTTTTATTTTCAACAGCAAATTATTTTTTAAATTTTGCTCAGTACTAATTTAGTAAATTTTGGTTGATTTGGTGGGACATAAATTATGTCCATATGTATATATATCCTTAGCCTATAATTTCAACTTTTTTTATTATAATGACTGATTTTATGAACAACTTCAAAATAACAATCTTCCTCAAAAGATTCTCGACTCACTCTCCCGTCCAGTGCTAAGAGTGTGAACTATGCATGGTTTATCTTGTGTACATGTAGTTTGCTGTAAATAGTATAGTATGTATCTTTATTTGAATAACTGTTTGAGAATACAAAGTCAAGACACACCATAACTTTGATTTATAGTGAAAAGTCACTAGTGTATTTTTGATATAGATTAACTTTCAAATATATTTTTGTAAATTATTTATTTATATATGATACCTTAAGTGCATGAAAAGTAAACACACCCTATATTTATTTATATACGATACCTTAAGTGCATGAAAAGTAAACACACCCTATATTTATTTATAAATGATACCTTAAGTGCATGAAAAGTAAACACACCCTTTTATTTATCAGATGTAGTTACACTAAGTGCCCAATTTTCTGATTTCACTACAGGTTTATCTAAATTCTAAATTATTGGAGGTTATGAAATGTCACTTAATGATTAGTTTAGTTTTAATGATTAGCTGATATGCCTTAAAAATCAGCCGTGTGCAGTAACACATCATGTAGGCAAGGCTAAGTACACCAAGGACTTGATGATTAGAAGATGAAAGGCAGTGGTAATGAACACAGAATCCTGACATTTGTTGTTAGAGGCCTGGGTTTGACAAGACTGGGTTGAGGTAATAGACAATAATAAGATTCAAACAAACCTGAATGTTTACAATGTTTGATGATATGTTAATAAGCAATAAATGAGGAGCTTGGTATCAAAAGAGGACATGTACATAAATTTTGCTGGCATATTATTTGTCATGATATCTTCAATTTGATTTAAATAGCAATAATTTCATTCACCATCTTAAGGAGAAAAAATATTTTTGACAACAGTGGAGCAAGCATTAAGTACAGCTTTGCACAATATGCCTCTATGAGGCCATGGTGCATCCTTACATCGAGAAAAAAAAAAATACAGCTTTGAGAAGCTATCAGACCTCATCAAAATCTGTTTTTATTTTAAGTAGAGATGTTTACGTTTGCTAGAAAGTTGTTCAAATAGCCTCTATGCAGATAAAAGAAATAAAAACATATACTAGAATTATAGTGTAAATAAAAGACCAAGGTACGAAATAACATAAATAAAACTTTATTGAAAGCGGATATTTATTACAATTTTCTATAGGATATAATACATTTTACCACAAAATTGGAAAATTAACTAAGTTCCAATCTAAACAGAAAGTTAGACCTTTCCAGCAAATACTCCCTCTTCTACTTGATTGTTCCACTTTTCAACCCATGCGTTAGGGCATAATGACTTATAAACCCGATGGAAATATTGGCAGGCATCATATTTTTCACCTTTCACTTTCTGGCACCTGTGGAAGTCCACGTAGCTCTGGTAACAGTACCTACATTCAAATTATTGTATTAGATATATCTTTATTGGAAAATTACCTTCATACAGGTTAATACATATCTTTACATTTTAGTTCGGCATTCTCAGATACACTAATGATTATGATTAAAATAAAGTTTAAAATATAATAATAATTTGGTTTCTATATTCTGGGACAAATCATTTTAGAATAATATACAATGATAGAATTAAATAATAGAAATAATAATAATATACTAGAAAAATCCGGTGCACACATCACACAACTTCCACATACCACCCCCTCTTAGCAGAAATAAGTATTTTCAAACAAAGGGTAAATGGAAGTCAAAATTATAGATGCTATATTTATTTACATTTCATTGTGGGTATTTTTATTTGTTTAATTGCCCTTATCTATACAAATTTTAATTTTTATATCGCTGTAATCTATACAATTAAGTATTAAATAATACCAATGATAGTGTTTACAAAAACCCCATAGGTATATGTACATACTGTTGTTCGAGTCTGTATTATATTAAGCTCATATTAAGTATGGAAGCCTATTTTAATCTTTCCAGTGAGTTCGGGGGCGCTAGTATTTCTTTGGTTCTTCCATTACAACTATTATCCGTTACGATCTCTTATTTCTATTTTAGTTAATTATCAAATTCTTTCATTTCTTATATTTAACTATTTTTTATATCAAAGATTAATGTAAAATGGTTAATTATATCAAATAAAAAAATTAAAGGTACTTTAGAGGAAGCTAATATTGAAAATTGGCCATTTAAGCCCTGTTAGAGAACATCAATGAGAATAAAACCTACATTATATTAAAAACTGCTTAATAATACACTTATGTACTGAGTTTAATCAAAAACATTAGAGCCGTTTTTGAGAAAATCTTAAAAATTTGTTAAATCGAGTAAATAAGGTACCACATTCAGTTGGTCGATTTTAACGAAATGTTGCTGTAACATCCCAGGACTATAAAAACCTCAAATACACAATTTCAGTTTTGTATTACTTTTTGTTTTTGAGCTAGGCTATACTTACTCTTACTTATACATTACATACATAGGTAGGTGAAAGTAAAAAAAACTTACTACTAAGAAAGAAAACAATGTTGTTTACTTTTATAAATTATTATTTTCTTTTGAAGAGAAGAATAGTAAGGGTTATCAGTAAAAAAAAAAAAAAAAAAAAATCTTAATATTGATATTAAAACTATGGGACAAAAATATCTGTATATTTCTCTCATCTTCAACCTCACTCAGTTCACTCTCTTGCTTCATTTGTTCAATTTCCTTTTTAATGAAGACACAACTTTTTATTTTGTAAATAAATTAAATTTATAAGTGCAAACTGATCTTCACAAAATTATTTTACGTTAAATCATAATTTGAAAAGTTATTTTAACAATCTTCAAGAAAATTTTACTGGCTTTAATTACTAATAAAAATAGCAAAGTAAAGATTTCGATTAATGTAATGGGACAAAGTTTAAATGAAGGTAAAGAAAAGTAATAAGAATGATCCGTTGAATAAATATATACATATTATAAATATATATAATAAAACTTAATTAGAATATTAACTTCATAATAAATTGTTTACTTACTTGGTTTGATTCATGTTTGGAAAACGAGGGTCAAAAGGGGCAGTTTGGAGTTGATTAGCATCCTTCTGTTTAGTAGCCATTGAAGCTGTCAGCATTTCAACTTAAAAATTAAAATGATAAATTAGAATATCTGAATAAAAGAAAGAAATCATTAATGAGTAATATATATATATATATATATATATATATATATATATATATATATATATATATATATATATATATATGATCGACACAGGATAAATTTGTAAAATTTAGAAGAAAAAAGAAGCATGAACAGCAGAAGCTACATCACGGAGGTCATGGTCATATTTCCCCTCATTTTTGTTTGGAAAGCAGATGAAAACTGATTTAATTGTTGCATTAATGCAAACCCAAAGAAATTTAATAAAATTTTATTATTTGTTTCTAAATTTATCGAAATAATGGGAATGGGGGAAAAAATTTAGAAGACCCAAAAGGCGGCATATCTCGAACATCATATCAATTCATATACAAATTTTCAAAGCATTAGAGCAGTAATGTAACAGGGGAAGGGAGGATTTAGTATATATATATCAGTTATTACAAAATCCCCACAACCATAATCTAGGAAATGGACGTTCTAAAATGGATAAAAAAAATTCCCCTCTCATCCTCCTTGATGATCTCAGATACAATGTAAAAATCTACTTTTTGACTAACTATAATCTCAGATGAATTAAAAAAACATGAAATTTATGATGATAAGGATGTTTCTAAATACCTATATCACATAAAATGTTTTGTGACAACATTAATGAAATAACATTGAATACTATATAGTTTATAAATTGACTGAAATAGTCTCTTCTAGCTTTCTTTTATTCTGCTAATGTACAAAAATCTTATTCCATTTTCATAAAAACATATAATATTAAAGAACCAACTCATTTTTGTAAGGCATCGCTCTGTATAATGCAAGGTGTTAATCAAAAAATATCATTATAGTTTATATCAGTTTACTGAACTATAGGAATAACAGTTTTAATTTTAGATAGTGTTAAAAAGGAGGTATTATCAATTAATCCAATATGAATAAAAATTTGCATACATAATAATGAAACTAGAAAACTTTAAAGCATTCATATTCTAAATTTTGTGCAGGGAGAAAGGACAAAAAAATGAAACATCAATTCCAGCTTAAATAGCAAAATATTCACAGGAGGTAAGTTACAGAATCAAACAATAATTTCTTAACTGTTCTATTTCTTTTGATTATTTATATATTTAACTATTATTAAATATTTCATTATTTATTAAATATTACCTATATTTATATTTTATTACTTAATACATTATTATAGTCATGGAATAATGTTCTTATTTGTACATTAGAATTGCATTATTTGAGACTTCCCCTGGACAAGAGAATGGAAAAGTCATACTACATTGAAAAGAAAACAACTGAACAAACGATTTGGACAGTTACCCAGCGGACAGTTTCCTTAACTCACAAATTTACCGTCAACAAACAACTGCGAAAACAATTAACATCAATTAAGTTTTGAGATCATAGCAAAAATATCAACAGCAGTGGTAAGAGGCAAGGCCATGGAGATACCAAGGGCCTAAGGAATAATTATCCTGGGCCCCCATCAAATATTAAAATTATCACTAAAACACATCCGAAGCCTTTAAAAAGTAAGATATAACATAATTATTAGAACTGATTAAAAATATAAGCCTTGGCTGTCCCCTCCCTATCCTTGGGACTAGTATTAAGGGGAACTTAATTAGACAAAAGCTTTTGATGGTATAAGCAACATCATAGATATTATATCAAAGTTTTAATTTCTAGAAGCAAACTATAATCTATATTTCCTATTATTTGTCACTAAACAGATATCAACAAATGATATTAATTCCGTTTCTTTTCACTTTGAGGATCCATGAAAGTCTGTGATGATGCTAAATTTTATTTCATTTATCATTTCTTCATTAAGTCATCATAACAATGATTAAAAATAAAAGTAATATGTAAATACTCTGAAAGATTTATATAATTTGAGAAAGTATCAATAGCCTTCTGCTGAGTACTTGAAATAATCAGACTCTTAGGAATATTTCTTTAACTTGCTTTTGAATTACGATATTTTGGTTTTGCCAAGATGGAGTTATCAGCACTATGGACCAACTACTGCTGAGCAAGGTGCTAAAAATCAATTTGTACAGCGTGAGGAAAGTTTTGTGAGAATCGTACTTGAAATGTATCTGAATATTGTGTCTTTCTCTTATGCTCATTATCTTCTTATTTAAATTAATTAATTCTTCCTTGGAAATGATCTTATTCAGTCAATTTTTAAAATACTCAAAAGGGCTCAACTTTGAAATACATAAAGCAAAGGCTATACCATGTTTGGCCACCACAGCCATACATATTTTTACAGTGGATACCTTTCCTACCACAGTGCTATTCAACAAAATTAAGCAATAAAATTTATAATAATATTTAATAGTTACTTTCATAATACCAAAACTACCCTATATTACACAATATGGTTTTCAGAGAGAATGTTATGTATCAGATAGTAGTCAAAACTGCTGTTTTTTTTTTGTTTTTTTTGTTTTAAATATAAAATTAATATTTTGATCAGATGAAATTCTAGTGAGTATAATTACATAAAACTAATACATTTGCTTTTATGCTATTCTTTCAGTCACCTTATTCCACAAGAATCTATCATGAGTTCTGCTTAAAGAATACCAAAGAAAAAGAAGTTCAACTTTATCAACGTTAAATAAATTATCTCTTATAAATGATGATTAAGATAAAAGAATATGTTGTGGTAGTCTAAAGTAAGGAATAAAACGGAGTATGTTACCATATATAAATCAAGAACTAGCACAAGCTATCAAAGAAACAGACAGTAATTTCAAGAAATTAACAATAAAGCAATAAGTAAAAAATGTGAAGGAAAATGAATAAAATTCTTAGTATATTATTCACAATCAGCGTTCGGGTATTGTGGCTGGCTCCAATTTAATATTTTTAAATTTGAGGTTACCATATCATTAGGTAGCCTTTAAGGACAGAAGAAGGGAGAATTAATAGAACAATTCTATAATGCAGGCTTTAACGGACAATCCATAAAATAAATTGAATAAGATTATATTATCATACACAGCCGTACTTCATCAAATTCCAAATTTCAGACTGGAGCATGAAATCACTCAGGATCTGATAGCATACTCATAAAACTTACTAAAGACAAATAACAGTGAGGACTGTTCATATTGTATTCGTATGTTTATCATTCGTACTAATAAGGAATATTAATTAATAATATTTCAGGAAAGTTACTTACTTTAAATGGAAATTCCATTAAGTGTGAGATAGCAGGCCTAATGTTTTACGCTCTATAAAACAACAAATATCACCCTTCCGACATGCTAGAAGCTGAAGGACAACATTAATAGTATAACTGCTGGGTTTCAGTTAACAAGTTGAACATGAATCCAGCAAAAATTAAGTTGGTATTGGTTCAAGACCTTCCCTCAAATCCATTATGATATCCTAATATCATTCCTATTAAAAACCTATGAGCTAATCTATTCCTTAACTTTAATAACCATATTTGCCAAAAAAAAAATCTCAATTAATTAACAGCTTTAAAGAATTTGTGATTCATTTTCCAGAAGTACCTGTCATGCAGAGTTCTCCCTCATTTTAACTGGGTAAGTCTAGTCTAAGGAAGTCTACGGAGGTCTATCTGGTGAGTAAGAGACTAAAAAGATTTATGAATCGCTTTGTAACATCTATTTTTGGTATTCCCAGAGGCTCTACACCTCTCACTCCGTATTCCGAACAAAGCTGCTATCCTAATTTCCGAAGGTAAGTATTGCTAAAAAATGTTAAACATTTCTGCGACTGCTTCTTCAGATAGAACTTTAAAAACTGTTATGGTCTAGAAACTTAACATCACTAATAACTAATTTATTTTCTATACACAAAATGCTGTCCAATATGATCAAATCATAGATTTTAAGACTCAAAGTTCATTCAAGATTCTCCTCTTCTTGTTTGTATTTTTTCTTGATTCCAATAATTACCTAAAGCTCATGATAGAAAATTAAATATTAAGTCAACTAAGGCAGAGGTAAAAATATTATAATACTAGAGGTGAAATACCTATGGTGATAAGATATGTATTAAAATATTTAATACTGTATTGTGACAAAACTTCTGTCAGTTGAATAACATAATAACCAGTTTGATTATCAATCAAATTATTAATTTAAAATTTCTTACTTGATAAAATTCATAGCAACTTATAAGTGAATATCATATTGATCAACGGGGTAAACCTCAACCTAAACGTAGATAGAGATAAGAACTGTTCTCTCCTACCTGTTATGGAATCTTACATTTCATTGTGGCCAAACTATCTGCTTTTGGTGGCACTGTTGAAGGTTAAAGGCTCTAAACCATCCACAATTAAAGCTTGTAAACACATTCTATTCTGTTTTATACCTGATGGCTATTTAACTTAAATTAATTAATTTCCTTTAAAACATTATCTTCAGTCACCAAAAGTGTTTAATTTTCCCATTATATATCTTCATACAATATCATCAACATGTTTAATTACCATACTCCAATTATCAATGGTGTCTTTTACAAAGCATTATCCCTGGATGTTCATTTATTTATAGCATAAATTAATATGAAATAAACAATTTTTTACTGCAAGAACCGTAAATACATCCAATCAAAAATATATTTTAAAAATGTCAATATATTAAAGTTTGCTACAGCAACTTATACAGCTTATCATACCAACCTGAGACCAAAAATATATGTTTTTTGGAATCAAAATTACTAACGAATATTTATTTTATTATTTTTCCTGATTACTACTGAATTATAAAGAAGTTTTTGTGGTACTGGGTTTAACTTAAAAGAAACTGAATATTCAAAAGATATTTTATCAGTACAAGATAAAATAGGATAATTTTAGTATAAAAAATAACACATTTTGACATATATTAACAAATATAGAAAAAAATGTATCTCAACAGCATTTTAAGGAAAACACCAAAACTGTCAATCTTATTAACTAATGAAACAACAGGCACATC